TCTTCCACAATCGGGCACAATCAGTCACAAAAGGACACAAAATTGATCACAATTAACACAGAATAGCTGTTTGTGGGAGTCAAGCACTTAGTTTTTAGTTCATAAAGGTTAATTAATAGACGAGGAAGCAGTTACTAAACTGTGAAAAAAAAAAGGAAAAAGGGAACAAGAAAAAGAACACAGGAAACCAATTGAAAAAGTCAAAAAATCTCCTTCAAACATTGTAATTTTCACTTTTTCCAATATCTTTTCTCCTTTATACAGACTATTCAAATTTGCCAAACCAACTGGCAACTACGACTGCAAATATAAATCAATCAGCTTCCCCCAAACCACCAACTCGCCACCATAACCACCACCACAACCCATACACCACACCACAAATTTACAAATTCTCACAACCCCCGTTACCACCAAAACAATGAAACCGCCGCCACCACCAATGGAAACACAAAAAAACCAACGACCATCCCTAAACAACAGATCCAATAAAAAAAACCCATAACTAAAAATTGATAAGCATTAAAACAAATGGGTGAAGCAAGCAGCGACGCTGCTCGCAGCAACTCGCCGCTGCAGAAACGAAGCCAGGCGCTGCTTCTTCGTTCATTAACGTCGCAAATGGGGTTTGCACAGTCGTCGTCGGGGCATTTCCAAATCGTTATCCACTCCTCCTCTGCTCATTAATCAACGTTGGCTGCCGGTGAAAAATAAGAAGAGAAAGAAGACGCAAAAAAAACAAATTGCAAACAAAAAAAAAACTAATTGCAAACATAGTCCCAACTTTTTTTGAAAACGCAAATGAGTCCCAAATAAATTATTATAATGATAATTATCACCTAATGTTCCTACTTTTCACTATTATTGCGAAAAACATACCTATATATATATATATTTTTTTTTTTTTTGACATTTTCTTCCTTAATTATATTTTGATAGCACAAACCATCATTTCTATCTATTTTCATCTAATTTCTCAATAAAGAACTGTGAAATAATGAATATACCCTCATATTTATACATTATGGATTTTGATAGTAGAATCTTCATCTTTTAGTGGTTACGTATTTACTCTTGGTGGAGGTATTATATTTTAGAAACCTTCTAAACGTGTTATTGTGAAATCATATTCATTGAAACAAAATGTCGTAGACATAATAATTCTCGGTAGTTTTTTCTCAAATGGAATAATATATATCGGTTTTGGGTAAATGATAACCTAAAAGATTAGCCTAAAACTGAATTCTCATCTTCATGGAAACCTATCGTGGGGAAGATTCTATACAAAAACAATTATGAATGACTCAATGAAAATCCATAATTTATGATACAAATAAGTGTTGTCTACACAAGTTTGTTGATGATAAACTTTCCTTTTAAATATGATTATAACTTGTAAAAGTACAATTTAATTATTGTAACTTGTAAGATATTCCTAATAGTACATATGACGTGAGTGCGAACTAGGCCGATTTTATGAAAATTTTACTTAAATGAATTCTCTATGCACTGACATAACCATGGGCGGACCTATGGAACTTTTAAGAGTTTCTTTTAATATAAAATCGTGTTTGGTATCGATTGAAATCTAAATTTTAATCTAAATCAAAGTTAACAATTAATTTTAATAACATATTTCATGTAATCCATAACTGTTTAACTTTTATCAAAATTTACTAAAAATTTGATTTTA